GGTTTACGCAATCCAACGGCAATGCAACTTTCACTGCCATCGGAGGTCACTTTGTCACTAACCAAATAGGAAAGTTCATCTCACTCAATACACAACGTACTAAATGACTGGATATGATATCAGAGGGTAAAATGTCTGTTATTAATACTTTTAAGAACGATAACCAGTGACGATCGCAAAAAATATCCATAAAGAAAAACACTTTGAAAGCCATTTTACTAATTGAGGAGATACAATTATATTAACCACTTGTGAATTCATCAATTCCAGATTTTACAGAATAATGGTAGGTTCAGGAACCAGAGAAAGTTTAGTAGAGACAACCAGTGACAGAAGAGTACGCAAAAGTGAACGTGAATAAGTGGCAATACGCATTTAAAAACATGAATGACTTTTGTGATGATTTTTTTGCGAATGTTCAGTAGGGTAGCAGATTAGAGATTTAAAACCTTTCGATTTTTAACCAGTGGAAGTGCTTGTCATTTATAAAGTCCAGTGACACTCTTTCTGACTTGTCCGTGAATCAATATGTGTTCACTTCCCATAAGCTTGTCAGGTACAAATTAGCCTGATGAAGTACTAATTAAGTAATCATGCCGGTATTTAACTACTTAGTGACGTATTGATTCGTTCTTTCGATTCACAATAATCTCCACGAGTATTTGATGTATTTTAAAGACATGGAAGTGTACAGGAGCTGATGGTGCTTAATGAGAAAATTACTTCTCGCGCTCTGTGAGTGTGCAGATGATGCATTTCTCTAATTCGCTTCATTCTGTGATGTTTGCGATGTTGGCTTGTACGTGACGCACCGCTCCCAGCAGCCATTGGCCTCCGCGAACCGGTTTGCTGAGGCAAATCAGCACGGGACCCGGTCACCAAGGCGCGTTTTCCTCTACTCTTCCAATGTTGGAACGCGAGTTGGTGCTACCGGACTCTGCAAATGGACGGCAGTAAGTTCTATGGTCGGGCCCAAAAGAATGAATATCATCTATATGATACTCACCCAACCGTCCTAAAAAAATATGTTCACCAAAACTACACGTAATATACGATTGATTGATTCATTAGCGATTCCGGCCGCTAGAATTCTCTTCCAGACAGCGAGAGAACGCGATCTAGCTAATGTCGAATATCCTGCCACTGTCGGGACTCTTACCTAGGGCCTTCCGGTCAAAGGCACTGCAGTGACATCAGTGGATACCGTGAGTCATCTCTTCCGGTGCAATACACGATAATAGGACGGTTTTGAACCAACAATACTACGAAAATACTTATCTTTAAAGGAATGTGGTTTTTACAAATGTATATCACTTTACGCTATTTAATGTAACTTATTTTGGTTGATCCGGAGTTTAGGGTGCCACCGGTTCCTTTGGTTCACTGATTCGGTTCACTACTCGTGTTTTAGTTCAGTGAGTCGATTCCCCTCTAGTGAACCGGATCAGTGAACCAAATGAACCGGTGGCACCCTAAACTCCGGATACACCCTTATTTTCATTGGGTAAGTTTCATCTAGATTGTGTTCATTCTTTTGGACCCGTCCCAAGAAATTCCGCTCGTCCATTTGCAGAGTCCAGTAGCACCAACTCGCTGAAAGTAAAATTTTCGCCCGTGGAGGCGGCATCTTATTAATGACGTCGAAAACACAGCATAATAGCATGCTGCAGCAAACACGTTACCTCCGGCTGCTCTAGGACACGCTGAACGCACCGGGTTACTGACGTCACAGCGATAATGAAACACAACCTTTTAGAACGCAGTTTGACGCTGACATCGGTGTACTGGCATCGGTTCCAAGAGAGAAATCGTGTGAAGTGGTGGAAACCGAGACGTTTACTTCAGACGAGTATTGTAATATGTTCGCAAAAACATTCCATGTCAAGAGTCAAGTCTCATGAAGACCAGTCGTCATTAACATGTTCTCAGGGGAAGAACTGGCACGTGAAACAAAACGAGAGAGTACGTGAATGATTGAGAAATCTTACCCAGAGGTAAAGCAATACTCCATATATACGTACGTATGATGGAAAGTAAATAAAAAAATGTACACGATTAGCGAACCAAGTCGCATTACTGTTACTGTAACAGTATGTTCAAATATTTCTCCCTTTTTGTATCGAAACTAAATCAGCTTCAAAAATGACTCATAGGAAACAGTGTTTCTCCACAAAACTAAATTTGATAATTCGGAACTATTTACAAATAACTCAATATGATATTCTATCAATGCAGGAACGCCCCATAAAACAACCGTTAATCAAGGCATGATTATCTAGTAGAAGTTTAATGGTAAATTGTTTCTCTAAATATCCAGACAAACGGAAAGCTTCCGACATTACTAAGTACAGATTCATATGAAGTATGCTTTGTGGAACCCTTTAGTGAAAATTTACGGGATAAAACGATGTTTCCTTTCTGTAGAAACACGCCTCTTGTTATGTAGGAAGACATTACCATTCCTTGCTTTAATCGGTATGAGCATTCTTTGACGTGCGTGTAGCGATCTGTAGTTTTCAGAAATGCAAGACTTTTTTTCTGTGAGAAGACTATCTTCGCTTAACGCAGTTTTTACACATGACATCTGTATCTTTTATGTCGAGTTTGCTCTGACATCGGAAGATATGATTTGTGAACAGCATAGTGGTCAGGGCAACATATTTTTACAGAACAGATAGTTAATAAAATTTAGTAGCTTGAGAACTGATGACACGATAGCCCAAACACTTACGTAGACTAAATAACGCACAGAAAAATAATTTGGAAACTTAATTATTTTCCTTTCTCGTATATGTACGTGCATGCGAAGTAATGAATACGATGCAGAGAAAATTGTGTAATGAGGCGAAAAATAGGTTTCGAAATTTCAACAGAAATACACGTTTTGAGATCCCCTAAAATATTTTTTTTTCAAAACGCTCATTCATCTTTCTGTACGCTTGCCAGCGCCTACACTATTTTAGAAGATTTACCAAATTAAATATTCTCCTGTAGATTTAGATCGATGGGAAGCTCTGCGATTATGAAAAACATTCTTGAAATTTTGGGAGTACTTTAGATGAAGCCCTTGAGACATTTTCAAAATTTTCTCAAAAATGTCTCCAAATTTTTTGTATGAAATGAACGAAATTTACTTAAAAAGATGGCATACGTTAGATTTTTACAGTTAAGTCTGACTTTTCGAAAATTAGAAAAAAATTCGGCATTTTACTACAACACTATTGAAGATAGCGATATTTTCTGCAAATGAAATTTGTTCTCCACCATTAGTTCTTTCATTAACGCCATGTAAATTTTTCATAATCATTTCAGTAGTTCTCATGAAATTTTAAATGAAAAACAGGCAATATTAAAAATACATAAAAAATATTTTCTCAAAACCGGTTCCAAATTTTTTATACACATTTTTTCAATGATAGTGCTAAATGCAATGTAACCGATAGCATGAATACCATTTCGCTGTGGTATTTTGTTCAAAAGTACGAAATACTTTTAATATATCTTTCTCAATCGTTAGTGTTTACATTAAAAGCATGTTTCTTATACATTATCGAGTGAGTACAATTGCTTCAAATAATTTAAGAAGTTTCTCAAAAAATGAAACGTTTTGCGTGGAAATGAATTTCAAAATGCAAATTTTCAGAAACCCTCAAATGAATTTTTTGAACGGATAGTGCTAAATGAACCAAATAACATGATCACAATGCCATTTTTATTTACTCTATTGTTTAAAAAAAATTACTCAAATGTAATTTTTTAAAACCTATTTCATGCCATCTGTGGACAATTGCAATGATGTCCACACGAGTCCAAGTGTTCTAAATGATTTTCAATAACGTTTCTCAAAAACTTGAAAGATTTCTGTGCAAATAATTTTAAATTTCGCATTTTCAGAAACTTTTAAACTTTTTTCCTAAAACGGCTCTAAATTATTCAACGAATTCATACAGGGCGGGATTTTACTCTTCTATAATAATATTATCATCATATTTCCATTCTACTATTAGGAAGCAGAAAAATTGACAGAATGTGATGAATGAAAAAAATGATCTTTAGACGACAATAGATCGCAGCTGAGAAGATGTTGGGACAAAACCGAGAAGGCAGTCCAGAATAAAGAGATAAGGAAACTAATTAGTACGATAAAGTATGTGCCATTAATGTAATCATTAGTGAACTAAATTCTTAGACAACTGTGTTCATTAAAATATTAATTGTATTGTTTTTACTGTTTAGTAACAAACTAGTGGTCTCTGAATGAACCGCTTTTACTAGGGCTGTCTAAAAAGTTCTTTCTAGGCCTGAGTCGATAAACCTTTTATATTCTTAGAGCAAGTCAGTTATACGCCACGGACGATAGACAGTAAAATTCAATTTGAAAGACGAATGGAAAAAATAATAGTTTGGTCTTCAGGAATTAAAACGTGGCTCAAAATTAGAGCAATTTTGTCTGCTTTTGGAACACAACTCTCAAGACAAAGCTCATTGTAAATAGCGGATAAACTGCAAACGAAATGTTAACTAGTTTAGTGAAACAAAAAAAGCAATTTGAAGACCTAATATGAGAGCATTTTAAGATTGAAAGGTGCTGTGGCTAATGTTAGGCCATAATTTGCAAAAACGAGGTTCTGGGTACTTTTTTCATGCATCCTGTCTGTATAGTTTGGGAGACATGATTGGAAAGTTGAACTACTTTCAAAAGATCTCTTACATGTTGAGAAAAGTAGTTTACTACGAAACCCCAGCGTTCATTCCATTAGATGCTACGAGTAGTGGTGATGAAACACCAATCCCCTTCACCTGTCATTTCGTTGAATCTCTATTTAGTGTCTGTGAGACCGAGAATAACTCATAGTTTTTCCTTTTCATTCCTTTCATTACATATCAGAGATTGCAGATACAGAATTCATTGAACCGATCTAATTGGTTTTATAATTCCATTGTTTTCCCTCCAAAATTGTGTTTGATTTTTTCAATTTTCTTTGTTCCATGCTATGCAGCGAGCTACATCAAAACCTGTTCTCGAAATGACCCGAACTTGAATGAGTGCGCTTTGAAGAACGGTAAAGCAGCGATTCCATATCTACTTCCTGGTGAGTATCAGAAAATAGGAAAATGTTACTTTGATGTCATTTATTTTCGTTTTTTGAAATAATCCTTCGATCTTCATTTGGAAGGAAAATGCAATGTACGAATGTATTACACATCACAGTTGAACCGCGGCAGAAATTCGGGATTCAATGTTTTATGAAGTTACATATTATAAATATTGCAATTTGAATGTTCTAAAGTAGAACTCTACAGTGACAGGGAATTGCGTGCATTTGATACAAACGTGCAGCGGAGATTTTTAGCTTGACAAATGAGATGATTGGTAATTCGTACGTACTTAATCGTTAAAATTAGGTTGTCGGTATCAACATATACGTTTTTTACGCATTAATACACTTTGAAAATCCTTCATTTAGGAAATTACAGGTTTTCATGCAAAAAAAATGAAATGGAACGTTGGTAACTGTTGATATTCCTCTGCGTTTAATGTAGAAAATACCTATTCATCCATGCTTGTAATAAGCTACTGATTACTGAAATACTAGACTTCATCACTTGAATCTCCATACACCACTTCAATGCACAACTAAGGCAGAAATGTTGCTGTCCACAAAACGCATGTTTGAGATTTGCAATGCGCCAACTACCTTAGAACTTCTCTTTCTGAGCAATCTGAGCATAAAGAGCACGGCCCAATGTATTAAAATGACTTTCAACAATTTATTGCTTAATAATATGCAATTATATTATTTTCTAGAAGTGCGGATTCCTAGATTCAATCTCTTAATATATTAAGGCATTTTCGAGTTGGTGTAGGAGTGAAGGAGTATTGGAGTGGATGAAGGTGTGTGTGTGTGTGTGTATGAAAAGGCGTGGGTGAAGAAGCGTGGGTGCAGAGGCGTGCGTGAAGAGGCGTGTGTGCTGAGACGTGTGTGAAGAGGCGTGGGTACTGAGACGTGGGTGCAGAGGCGTGGGTGCAGAGGCGTAAGTGCAGGGGCGTGGGTGCCGAGGAGAGGGTGCAAATGCGTGGGTGCAGATGCGTGGGTGTAGAGGCGTGTGTAAAGAGGCGTGTGTGAAGAGGCGTGTGTGCAGAGGCGTGTGTGAAGAGGCGTGTGTGAAGAAGCGTGTGTGCAGAGGCTTGGGTGATGAGGCATGTGTGAAAAGGTGTGGATGCAGAGGCGTGGGCGCAGAGGCGTGGGTGCCGAGGCGTGTGTGCAGAGTCGTGTGTGAAGAGGCGTGTGTAAAGAGGCGTGTGTAAAGAGGCGTGTGTAAAGAGGCGTGTGTAAAGAGGCGTGTGTGCAGAGGCGTGTGTGAAGAGGCGTGTGTGCAGAGGCGTGTGTGAAGAGGCGTGGGTGTAGAGGCGTTGGTGCAGAAGCTTGGGTGATGATGCATGTGTGAAAAGGTGTGGATGCAGAGGCGTGTGTGCAGAGGCGTGTGTGCAGAGGCGTGGGTGAAGCGGGGGAGGGCCGAGAGTTGTGGGTGAAGAGTAGGTGACGTTTGTCGTTCTTGGCAGGGGACCCGAAGATCAAGCTGCCGTCGCTGAACCCGCTGCGCGTGCAGGAGATCCGCGTGGACCAGGAGGGCTCCGTGGGGCTCAACCTGCTGCTGCGTGACTTAGACATCGTCGGTCTGGGGGATGGAGACCTCCGCAGCGTAAGGTGAGCTTTGCCCCTCACCCCCCCCCTCTCTCTCTCTCTCTCTCTCTCTCTCTCACACACACACACACACACACACTAACTCCGTCATCTCTTCAACGTCTGGAGTACACAGCGTCGGTGAACCGCGTCCGTTCGTTCCTCACCTCTTCGACTCCTCGAATATACAGCGTGCACCTCGCGATTGCAAGGTGAGGTACCCCCCACCTACCCACGAAAAACTTCACTTCTTGGAACCCTCACCCTTCATCATTCCATCCGTATCTACTACTTCTCTGATAAACATTGCAACACTTCTAAATATCCCCAAATAGCAAATTTTTCTTTTAGTTTATAATACTATACTTCATTACACGCGTTAATATTTTGAACTCTCGTTTTTTAATCAAGCACGATATTTAGTTTGCTAAGAAGCTGCCACATCCTAAATAATTCTTGATTTCACCGAAGTAGAGTGAATATTGAAAAACCAACACATTTTCCTTAAATAATAACGGCAATATTCTAACATGCATGTAAGATGCCGTTCAGATCACCCAGCGTTGGAGCAACTGAATCTTCTTTTCATCTTCAAAAGGTTTTCCTTAACTGATGAGCTCATTACATGTAGGCCCCTGCATTCAAAGGCTCGGAGGGAGTAGGGAGGAAACGAAAATGCTGATGTTTTCAAAACACGATGTTTGTGTAAAAATCTAGATGTTTTGAACATCGATGTATTGAAGTGGATATTTTTTGAGCATCTGTGTTTTGTGTTCGATGTTTTTACGTTTTCAATGTTTTGTCCGCGAGTAGTATAGAAAAGGGGCGCACTGAAACAGATACATCAGACTCACAATTTTTAGGTTTTAAAATGTCAGCAGCATTTTAATACTTATTCCATCAAGAATACATATTTTTATGATGATGTTCATGTTCATGAATACATATGTTCAACTCAAAGTTCAATATGTTCATGTAAATCCTCTTCATTATTATAATTTTTATTACATTAAAAGCAATAATGTTGTTTTCCATTTTTTCCCATGAATTTGATCGCTTAATGCACCTATATTTTTTATTCCTAAACAATGGCCTTCAAACATTAATATATTGACAAGATTTTCTAATTTTTTATAATTTTCACTATAATAATTTAATTTTGATACAGGAACCTTAAATTTGAAAGACATTAATACTTTTAAAATCCTTCATATATTTTGATATGCGATGGTGTAATAGCTAAATGATATTGCATGTTTAAAGAATCATATTTTGAAATATCATATAGATTCCGTAGTTCTATCAATATGAAGAGCTGCTGGAAATAATATACTTTTAGTAGCGTATTCAAAACGTCTATAATATTCTTGTCTTTCTCATTTAAACTTATTTGTTTTAATATTTTTTTACGTTTACACATTTTTTAAGTTTTACCCAATCTGTTAATGGAATATAACTACCAACTTTTAAAGGATCATGTTTATCAGATTGTAAATCAACATAAGATCCTTTACAATATCGATTTTTAGTATGTTTTGCATTATAATTATCGAATTTAGTCTCTTGAATCATGGTTTGAATCATTTCATATTCTGATTGATCATGAATAGTATGTTAATAACATTGAAAATTTTGTTTAAAATGTTTTATTTCTCCAGATAATTGTAATTCTGCAAATTGTACTGATGCTACTAATGCGATATGAACATGAGAGTATTTGTTAGCCAACAACGCGTGCATGGAAACGAGGGGAAAGGGCTCCGTTTCAAGAAGGGCAGAAGTGAGTGGGAGCGTGAAGGTGATCAACCTCCAAAACACACTGTATGTGCTCGACCTGGGCACGAACTTGATGTAGGTGAGCAAGATTACGGACAAGGGGAGCAGTGTCCAAAGGCCGAGGTTCAAGATGGCGACGGTAAGGTGCTGCTCACTGCGGGGCGCGGGAAACACCTCTACTTCTTCGGTGCATAAGAAAATGGTGAGTGCGCGAAGATTGCCGAGGACGAAGACGTGCAGAAAGCTCCGGAGAGTAATTCCCCTGAAGGCTGGCACATCCGTCTCGGACATTTGAACGTTCCGGATTTACGTGATGCTGTGAAGAATGAACATCTGCCAGGTATCGTCGTGAACAACATCGACCAAGATCTCGAATGCAGAGTTTGCAGGGGAAAATGTGCCGAACTCCGTTCCCTAAGGCTTCAGAACGTTCGTCGGTCGCGGGTGACTTGATTCATTCCGACGTATGTGGACCAATGCGCGTGACGTCGTATGGGAAGAACAAAGATTTCTACACTCATTGATGACTATTCGCACTGGTGTGAAGGAGCAAAAGCGAAAATGTAAATGAATTCGACAGCTTCAAGGCTGCCATGGACACCCAGCAGGGGAAGAAAATAAAGTGCCTCCAATCGGATAATGGACTGGAGTACAAGAACCGAGGGTTCGACGAACTACTGATGAGGCACAGCATCTCACGAAGGTTAACGGCGCCGTACAATCCGGAGCAGAACGGTGTAGCCGAAAGGAAGAATAGGACGCTGATGGACAAGGCAAGGTGCTTGTTGATCCAGTCAGGGCTGTCTTCCTCTCTCTGGGCTGAGGCGGTGAACAAAGTAAACTTCATCCGCTACCGATGCCTTTCGCGAAAATTAACAGGAAGCCACCCTATGAATTCTGTTTCGGAAGAGCACCAGATGTATCCGACTTCAAGTGTTTTGGCAATAAAGTTTTCGTAATGGACATGTCACCCGGAAGATGTAAGCTCGAGCCGCGCTCCAGAAAGGGTTCCTTTGTGGGCTACGGTGCAGAGACTAAGGGCTTCAGAATCTGGATACTAAGGGGAAGGTCGAAGGGTCCAGAGACGTCAAGTTCGTGTCACAACCGCTGACGGAATCCATCTCCAAGTGTGAAGACTTCCGACAGGAGGAGCACCATGCTGAAAAGATCCCAGGGCTGCTCGGAAGGGATGAGGTGGAGGCCGATGCAAGTCCTTTCATAGAGTTGAACCTCGGCCGGGATCCTCCTGCATGCCCGTGTCGGAACCGCAGCGATAGGGAGGCAGTAGATTTCCGAGGTTTCGCGAGAGTCAGACGTCGAAGATTTTCGCGGATTGGCGCCAGAGGAGCCAGAGACTGGTCAGGCGGTTACCTGGAAGACCTCGCAAGATCCACACTGGACAGCCAGGAAGACCCCGCTCGGCCCGTCCGGAGGACGGGCGTGATGGCAAGCGTGTAGAGGAGCGGGCTGAGGTTGCGTACTTAACTGACGTTTCGGCCAAGCAAGCTCTTTCTAGTGAGGACTTTCAGGAATGATTAGAGGCTATGGGGAGCGAGGTGAAGTGCATACTAGAGAAGAAAACCTGGTAGATGGTGCCAAGAGCGGAAAACAGGGGTGTGATAGGGAGCAGTTTCGTTCTGAGGAACAAGTATGGAAGGAATGGAGTGTTAGAGAGGCGAAAGGCAAGGTCTGTGGCGAAAGGGTATTCCCAACAGTGTGGAAAGGATTATCACGAGACCTACCTCAATGGGTGGCACGGTTGGACTCCATTCGCCTGATGAACACCCTCGCGGCATGAAGGGGCATCAAAATCCGACAATTTGACGTGGCCTCTGCGTACCTCAATGGGACTTTAGGTGAGGATGTGCTCATGGAGGTCCCCAACGAAATGAGCTATGCTCTTGAATACATTGTCGCCTATGAGAATCATAATCACCTGGTTAATGAGGCCAAGTCGCTATTGAGGGAGCTGTCAACTGGCGGGAAGGTCTGTCAAAGGAAGAAGGCCCTATACGGCTTGAAACAGGCCAGACAGGCTTGGCACAAGCGACTCGACAAGGAGCTAAGGAACCCGGGAGCAGCTCCTTCCACAGGAGACATGTGTGTGTGTGTGTGTACCTTAAGGATGTTGGTGACGACACAATGTTCATAGTGATTTATGTTGATGACATTCTAAAGATGTGTAGAAAGACCGAGAAGATAGATGCTTTCGAAAGTGATGTGGGGAGACTTTTCGAGGTGAAGGATCTGGTGAAGGCTTGGGGATAGACTTCAAAGTGAGTGAAGGGTCCATCTTCTTGAATCAGAGGACGTATATCAAGGACATCTTGCGTTGATTCAAGGTGTGCGAGTGCCTTCCTGTTTCCACGCCCACTGCACCTGACTCAAACCTCTCCAAGGCTGATGGGTGGGGCCTCTGACGGCGACAGACCGCCATATCGTGAGCTGGTAGGGTGTCTCTTATATCTGTCAGTTGCAACACGCCCAGACATATCTCACGCCGTGAGTGTGCTTGCCCAGTACAACGACTCTTTCGGAAAGTCCCACTGCCAAGCAGCAAAGAGGGTACTGGGCTTCCTAAAAGGCACCGTGGACTTGGGAGTCAGATATCAGGTAGGGGACTCTCCCGTTATGGGATATGTGGATGCGGACTACGCTGGGTCGCTAGATGACAGACGGACATTCACCGGATATGACTTCCCCATGAGCGGTGGACCTGTAACATGGGACTCAAGAAAGCAAAGGACTGTTGCGGTTTCCACCACAGAGGCTGAGTACATGGCTCTGAGCGAGGCTGCCAAGGAGGCCACACACCTTCGAAGAATCTTGGCTGAATTGGGAGAGATCGAGCTCGAAGCACTGTCCCTATACAACGACAACTTCAGCGCTCAGAGACTGGCGACAAACCGTGACTTTCATTCTCGAACAAACCACATAAATGTTCGCCGTCACTTTGTCCGGGAAGTCAGGGCTACTCAAGTTGGAGCATCTGGCATCGGTGGACATGCCAGCCAACATCTTCACCAAGGCCTTCACCAGGTCGAAGGATGAGAAGGGCTTGGAGCTGCTTGGACTAGTGAATGTCAAATGAAGTGTGGGGGATTGTCTCGAGGGGAAGTGTTGGAGTTATCGACAGGGCGATACAGTCCCTTTAGGAGAGTGCCTATTGATGTGCCGAGCAATAGACTGACCCTCCTGTGTTCTCTTTGACTAGAGATGTACTGTGTCCGTGGCCATTGCAGAGAACG